TTTAACCAACAATTGGGTCATTATGTAAAGAGGTTAACTAACCATGAAAAGATTAGATGTCTTATGTATTCCGCTTATGTATCTTTAGTAATTCATACATAAAAGCCAGACGAAACTCTCAGAGCTTCAGATAATCATATGTACAACTGTCAATCAGTTTCTTTATCAGAGGTTCTTTTAACATCTTTGTGATTTTGTTTTCTGCTTTACTTATTGTTGGGTGTATCGATAAGGTAAAGAAGCAAATTTATAACCTTTAATGACACCGTACAAGTCACTTATCCAGAGAATACCCCATTTTCAAACAGAACATAGTACAAATCAGACTACATAGTTTGTTCATATGCGCACAAAATAAGGTAAGATTATCTACGATCCTTACCAATTTTTAGGTAGTCATTTAGAGATTTTTAACACAAGAAATATTTATGATGGAAGCATTGAATAGTTGTTTTGTCCTAGTTTTCGACTCCACAGCGGTGGGCACCCATGACCCCATCGCACCAAGGATCGGACTCAGGACCTTAAGGTTCAGATACCAGAAGGTTGCCATTGAGCCACTAAATCGGAATCCAGCGGTTCATACTTACAACCTCTATCAGTTGACGAGACAGCATAACCTTCATCCACTGCCGTCATTAAGTTTATTGTCCTCATGTCCGACTTTCTTGGTCCCATAGGTCATGACTTCTCTTTAGAATTTCATGGATCACCTCTCGAAGCTAGTCACCAATGAGCACTAGGAGAACTACACCAGGACGAAATAGCTTTCCAGTGCTTTCAGGTTTTTAATGTTTCTCTAACTGATATCAGTCCATGAAGAATAGAAACTTGAAATCAATAAATCCGTACAAACTTTAAAATATTTATATCTACAGATTAGGTTGTATCAAATGTGATGCCTATAAACATCGATCAATTGACTCAAAATTTTCAATCGTGTTAAAGACTATTCAAGTTATACAAAATAATCATTGAAGTGTTCTGTGGAACTGAAGAATTTATAAGTAAAATCTATGATAGTAGTTTACACCAATGTTCAGCATGTACAAAGTTAACATTCAAAAGAGATGTAACAAACTAGTGTTGATAAAATGTATGCAAAGATATATTTCTTGATTGAGAATTAAACAGTAAGAATCTCTATTTTCTTAGATATTTAAAAGATTTCAGGCTTATAATAATTTTCAATGAATTCATAAGAAAGCTTAAGTAATTAATCAGAATCTTGCTAGATTCATGACTACTCTTTTGCTGAGGCTTACAACTTATAAATAATTTGGAATCTGATTGTTCATATTTTACGCTAACTTCAAATGGTTGTTCTCTGCGTTACATTTCTGATTTCCCAGTTCTCTGTTTTGTTTTGTTTTTCTAATATAAATGATATTAATAATAATTTTATCTTCAGTAAATCTACTCGTATTGCATAAAGCTCGAAGTATGATCAATTCTTGTCCGAAAATGAATATCGACGCAGGTAGAAAAAATCTTCAGAATGTAATTTATCTATACCGACATTATCAGTCACGCTTTTTTAAACTGTAATGTCGATAAGGTTCAGTTTCGTAGAAGAAGCCTGGAGATCTCTGGAAAACCTTCAGAGCCAATCGTAAACCCTTACTTTTTGTACATGTTTGACTTTAAAATAAACCTTTCGTCATTTTCGCCAATTTTTTCTGCTTTCGAGGAATTGGGTGACCCTCAATTGGGAAACCTAAGTTTCAAGAGCCTACTCATACATAGATATACACATCTACCACAAAGCCATGTCGATTAGCAACGAGGATGAAACTTGAACCTATGCAGATGCGGACATTTGACAAAAGACTTATTTGCTTATACTTTGCTACCTCTCAAAGCTACACCCATTTTTATTCTGAAATTATGTATTATTCTCACTGACTACAATAGGATCTATAACTATTTTAGTATACATAACTGCTGAACAAAATTACAAAAGGTTGCGGATGACATACATTCATGATTATCATTTGACTATCTGAGATAGCCGTAGTTTGGCAGACTAGTATTTATACCAGGTGATGATTGAAGGTGAAACTAAAATTTGAACTGTGGCCGGATTCAAACCAGCGACCAACGGGTTTCCTGGATTGACTACATAAAAACAACATAGATAGGGTCATTAAAAAAAAGGAGTTATACAATGTAGACATCATCTACGTAATAATAACAATTTGATTTTGAGCAAAACACTGAACAAACTTAAATCAAATTTATAAACGCAAAGAGAGGATTGTTTCACTTCAAAGCTTCTTGGGTTGTTGCCATCAACTGCGGTATACCTGAATCTTGGGCTTCCATAAGTATTCATCAAACATATACATCAAATTCTTTTCTTTCAAATATCGAGAAAACAATAAGAAGACGTAAATTGTCTGAACCGTGTAATGTATTTGCGCAACACATTTTGAACCATCTGATCACACACGTACTTGTCATAAGTATTTATATAAAAACTCATGAAGATAAGCTGGGTGAGGAAATAAAAAGGGGTCAGGTAGGAAGGCTGACTTAAAGACCGAATAACAATGAAAATCAATAGAGCGAAAAAATAATAGTACATCGAACTTGGTTTTTCAATAGTTGAATTTACCAAGGAAGGTTTAATGTGACAACAAATTGTTTATAAATACATAAAGGTGGTTTCAACTTCCTAATAGCTGAGGCTTCAACAAATTTCAGGATTTCTCCCCAACATGTTTTGTAAATAGGTGTAAAGGAAGTAGCCACATCAATCTTGTGACCTGTCTCAACGATATGTTTAGCGATCGAAGAGCTTGGACGTTTGCTACCAACATTTATAGGTTCAGGTGATTTGATTTGCTTCTGAAGCCACTTTGGAATATGTTCCCTGGCCCTTACTTGCATGGATCTATTAGTCCTCTCTATGTATGTGTCACCACACGTACATTTGAATTGGTAGATACAATGGGATGTGACATTATCGTTCACATGCTGTGGGGGTTTGGGGGAATATACGGGCTTCGTGGTTTCGATTAGTCGAACCCTGGATGTATATTAAGTCCTAACAGCAGCGTTGTCTCTGCTTAAGGAGTGCACTCTGAGAGTCACCTTTGTACGGAAGGCTGATGAAGACATCCTTCTTTGGGACTGACTGCAGTTCTAGTTTTGACACTCTGCTGATTTTGTTCTGTCTGATAAATGTTGATGGATAGTTATTTTCCAACAAAATATCGGTCAGTGTTCCTCTTTCATCCTCTAAAGTATCCTCGGTGCATATTCGTTGAATTCTGTTGAATAAGCACCTTACTAACGTTCGCTTCTACTGAACTGGGCAAAAGCTATGGTAATTCAGATATCGCCCTGTCCATGTAGGTTTCCTGTAGATAGATCGTTTTATGGATCCATCCTGCCTTCGACTAATTAATATATCTAGGAACAGCAAGCAGTCATCTTCCTCTCTTACACATGTCAAAGATATGCTGTTCTGTACTTCGTTCAGTCGGTTTAGAATTGAAGTAGCCTGATTTGAGTTTTCACAAATAATCAGGATATCGCCAACGTATCTTCGATACAGATGGGCTTGGTCTATTAAGTTCTCGGCCAAGTTCTCAACGTGTGACATAAATATGTCGGCTAGGAGGGGACCTAAAGGACTTCTCATAGCGACACCATCAACCTGGTGGAAATGTTCGCCCTCAAACGTGAATTTAATATTGTTTGTACATAATACATTACACGGTTCAGACAATTTACGTCTTTCAAATATGTTACCTGAACGAATCATATACCTTCTTGTACATTTTTAAAGTATTTTTCTGCAGTTAACAACAAAATATAAAATATGTCACGTTAAATGAAAATGAACTTTACAGTGTGCAAACATTTATCATATTTCTTGTACTGGTTGAGTAAATCGTCACTACCAAGCTTACTCTCGTTTTTGTGTTCATTCTCCAAACCAGACCGTAATCCAACACCAGTTGATTGTTTCACATTATGGCATTTCATACTGTGACTGTTAACATCATTCAGATAGAATAGACGTTTCACTTGAAAAGATTGTTGTGAAAGTGACTTTGCTGAAGTATTCCATTCTGCATCATACATATTGTTTATAATAAGACAATTATTAATGTTATTATTATTACTAGAATATAAGCGACCAAGGATTAACCATTTATTCAGTTATACGAATTCATCACCGTTTAACATCAAAATATAATGCACCACAGTGTCACATCATTCTGTCTAGTGTTTTTACTGGACAACTTGATCGATAAATGTCGATTAAAGTTAAGCAGTGTGAACTAGACACCTACATTAGTTGCTTATTTATAACCGATTAATGAAAGCAATCCAATCCTACATGTAGTCTGAGTAGCTTATCAGATTGACTCCCATGGTTTAATACAGATTCACTGACTGGTTAATGAGATATGCTTTCATCGGCCTATCCCTCTATTAAAAAACATTTGATAATCACATATAATTGGCAGTTTCATACACTTATATATATATATATGCTGTGAGTCAGTAGATGACCTATTTTTCAGTTATTCAGTATAAATTAAAATGAAAAATTATAGCTGAAACAAACTTAATCAAAATTTTTATTGTGGATAACAGTTGCGTCTGAATTACACTAAATCTCTGCAAATATCAATCTACCTTCAAGTTGATTAGGTTGTATTTTCTTCACTTTTGATTCAGGTTCAAATGTTATCATCTAAGCTTGTCCATAGATCGAAATAGAAATACTTACGAGTAAATCAGCTACACTCGTTGATTTTGTATATATTCATAATGCCTAATTTCTTTTCGTTTTTTATGCTGCTAAGATTTAAAGCAGGTGATTTAGTCTAAGGTTTATCGTTTTTTTGTAAAATGTTAAACAGCTACTCTTTTAATCATCACATGATATGATACCTTAGAATGCTTACAATGCTGTTAGAAATGTATCTCTTTGTAATTATAGACAAGTTCTTGTGTTTTTGTTTTACCTTCCCTGACAGATTGATATGTTTCAAAAAGTTTGTCGTGGTTTATCAATCGATTGTAATGAGATGAAATTCTACGAAGGTAAACCAGGACCTCCAGGTAAATTTTAAGTAACCATTACATTTATTACAACCATTAACGTAGTTATATTGGTCAACTAATAGTTAATAGCAAACATATTTCACTGACTAGTTCAAGAGTTTTATCATGGTGAAGGAACAATACCTCATACAGATTGTTTACTGATGGGTGGACTATGTTGTATGACTGAATTCGAGATATTTCTTGCTGGGATAAGTACTCCATAGCTCCGAATTCTGATACTTAGTCATTTGAAAGATTAACTATCTTCAATTTTTTCATTTGTCGAATAATATAACCAAAAACCCCTTGCATGGTAATTCGTCTTGTAGTGTCCCATGAAGGCAGTTGTTTTCAAGTATAGTGTAAACTTCTATATGATATAATGATGATGATAATTACTAGGATGGTATTCAGATCATTTCCGATAGCTGATTGCTGCCACCTGAATATAAGTTTGTATACAAACTAAGCGTTAACCACTGTAAAATATGGAAGGATTACCAATCAAACTGTAAAATTTCATCTAAATGTCATGGGAATAAAGAACAGCTACTTTGTTGGATTAACTAGCTTGGCGGTTCAAATCATCGTATACAGTACACATATATACACACACCGTAACAGTGTCAAATCCATTCACTGCTAATCCAAAGTATTTATGCTCTTATATCAAAGTGTGAGGTATTAAACTTTTCTGAATATCGGTTGATGTGAAAAATGGAGATATTTTCCAGCTTTAAATGCCATCACCTTCTTTAAGCTATCTGTTTTAAGTGATACTCTATCAGTATTACTCTAAATAACATTATAAATGACAATTTTATGAATAATTGTACTAAATAAACATGCTATTTACAGGGAAAAACAACTTCTGCTTCAGTATAATTGTTTTTATATCATACTGTCGTTGATTGGACCGAATTGATCGGTCTCTATTGGCATATCGGCTCCTGTGAGGATGTCTCGATATTGCCGGCGTTCTAATTATGTTAATAATGAATCGTGGCTAGCAGTATGTTATAAAAGCAATTATACTAAAACTATACCCGTTGCACAAGAAGTGGCTATCGTGGCTCGGTGGTGTTTGAAGCAATCGCTGCCGTGTTTGAATCCCGGTGGGAACAACATCACTCACTGGGAAGCAGGTACATCCAGCTAACGGGTCCCATATAGGACGAAATGCACATCCTGGATGCCACTGCTTGCCACGATCTATCATTAGCTTCTGCTTCATTCCAATTCTTTGAAGAATAGACAAGGAATTCTGTCAATTTTCTCCCTGAGGGATATTCATCTACTTGAACGACGAATTCTGTCCAACCACTATAACAGAACACACACAATACCATCGTCGCTGACTAAAACGTGTACCATCGTAATATATGTGGAGAATATCCCTGAAACTATTACCAGTAAACATACTGAAATGCTTTAAACCTACTGTTGCTCATAGCTATGGAGACTGGAAAGCACAATAGCCAAAGAAGAGAAGGCAAGAACTTTATCACACTACCATGATCAGCAATCATCCTATAAACAGCTGAAGACAGTATGGACAAGCAGAACGCACATGTCAACCATAAATAGAAGAGACTTGAAGCAGAGTGCCAGCGAATTTGTAAAAGCGTGGTAATAACGTCATTTTCTAACCAGTAAACATGTTTATATATCTGTCAACCAGTTAAGGAAGTATCATATACTTTCAGATATCATATCATAGTGATAGCAAGTGTACATGATAACTACAAAGCACCTGTGCACTAACTAACCCAGATAGCTGCCTCAGAAACGATGCTAAAATAAATAACTGTGCAGGACTGACCAGAGAAAATAACATTTCACGACCTTTTATTTTTGTAATTTGTCTATCAGTAAGCTCTATCGGCTCATATATGATTTCAGTTAGTCTTGCAAAGTGGAACATATCACTATTCATACTTTCCTATAAACTTGCGACTCGGTAGTAGGTTGACTAAAATTTATTCAACTAAAAGATTATAAGGACAGGTCTTGAATTCACATGGAGAAGTTCAGAGGTGCGCACTGCTGAGGAGCACCATAGTAGGACAAAATAGGTGTCCAGTACTCCAGTTTCCCAATGTTTCTCCAACTGATATCAGTTCATGATGAATTCCAACTTGAAACTAATTAATAAATCCGCATAAAACTCCAGATTAAACAACCAGTAAACAGATAAATGAGTCACCATCAGGCCATTGGTTATATCACCGACTGACTGTGTCATTGTGATTCAAGGAATACGCCTTAATTTATGTGTGTATGTAAATGCCTTACTGGTTAATCAACTATCTAGTACAGCTGAAAACATTAAATAAGGGAGATAATTAAATAGAAGATTAATGATCAAGTATGGAAACTTCTCATTTACACCCTCTTCGACTTTTTATCTAATCTCTCTGCTTCTAGAACCACTTCATTACATTTCTATTACTTCATCGAACATCCTTTAATCCAACTGTTTGTTATAGTTGTGATGGTTAACAATATCAGGAATGAATTTATTCTTTTGTACTTCAAAAGTGTACTAGATATATAAAGGAATTTAATGAAATCGAAGGATCTGCTTAGATAGATAGGTAGATAAATAGAGATAGAGTGATTGTGAAATAAATGAAGGAGAGGTATCTTGAAGAAAATCCAGTTAACTGGAGAACAAATCCACTTATGTGGTAGTACTTGAACTCCTAAACAGCATCAGTTTGTTTAAGAATTTTGTTTTGAGGATTTCTTTTTTGCGTGTAAATGCAGACGTATTGGTGTGTATGTGTGTGTGTATGTGTATCTGTGTGTTCATGAAACAGCAGAACAGAGGATGTTGAAGTTGAATTCATGTAAGTATTTAGGTAAATTAAGTTAAACTGATTAGGATAAATTTACTTAGAGAAGAAAATTGGAATAAGTGGAATAAATGAAAACAAAAAGAAAGGAAGAAAGAAAGGCGGTAGAATAATGAAGGAAAGAGAAACAAAAAAATATCTTCGAGCATATACACATACTTATCACATTTTTTTTTATTTTTCATCTTGTACTGCCTTATTCAGTTGTACACTTGTAAATTGGCAGGGATTTGTTCTCCTTCATCAGTTTTTCACCTCATTATCTTTTCAAAAGTTTACTACAGTGCCAAATAGTGTTTACGACCTATAGAAATATTAGTTTAACTAAATTACATAAATGATAATATAGAAAATAAACAAAAAAGCATATTTAACTTGTGAACAAATAATAAGTAGATAGTGAAGAAATATGTTTCTTTATGAGATTAAGATGAGGTAAATAAAGAAATTATTCGTCAGTGTTGCCTTTCTTACTTGTAATTACTGTTCCAGATATTCAGCCATTTCTATAGTTTTATTCATAGTTCCTTTATTCATCAAAATACTCTAAGAAATAAGAGCCTAAAACAGTCAATACTTTACTATTTTGCTTAAATGATAAGTACTAAGGAGTGGAATGGATACTGTTCATTCAAACGTGAATATAGATAAGCATTTGTTCCCCTTGAGTGCATTTTTTCTGTCAAATGAATTCATTAATTATCGAATTTTCATCGTCTTTCTAAACGACATCATCAACACCAACTTCAATATGAAAGTCAGCTGACAATATCTCTACGTGAAGGATTCAACATCTTGTCATGACAAAATACTTCGTCACCGATTGTTTCCCTAAATCGTTGTTTCATCGAATACACAGATTCTCCTGCTGGCTCTTCCTCTGCCTCATCTCTAATCCGCCTATCGCTCATCAGCTTTCTCATTGTTTCACAGATTCAGTCTATGTCTATAACATGTAAACATTCCTCAATAACATGAACACCAAGCTTCCAGGAACTACCTGATATTCTTTGTCTTCCCTCTGTTCACCATCAGTCAGTACTATATCGTCGAAATTGAATTCATGTCCATAGTTGTTATTCACGTGCATTGAAATGAGCCACGAAATGTCGTGACGTTCATTAGCCAACTCGTCTTCATATAGACGAAGACGAAGATGGAGAGGGTGATCACTTTCTCCAATGCAGTGTTGATCACAACTACTCCAGTTGATTCTGTAAGTGATATTCCGTTCGTCTTCTTTTGGTTATTGCTTCTTTTCGTCTGCATAATATGGTTTTAAGGGAACTTGTCAGTTTATGAGCCAGCTACATCAATTCCGAGTGGTTTCACTAATCATATCATGATCTCTGATATAGTCTGTATGTATGGTGATATGATCGATTTGTTGATTTCTGTCAATGACTTTGTAGTTGATGATGTGTGAATAGGTTTCGTGGGTAGTCGTTATTCTTCAGGATGGACATCGAGTAAGTTTCTTCGTTTGTCTGTGGTGTTGTTGACGTGTAGTGTGTTCTTGCTCTTTTCGATGCAGTCTGCTGGCATCTGATTTTGTGAGTTGTTAGATTGTTCGTATTGTGGTTGAGGATTTTGTCAGTGTGTATTAGCTTCCTGTATGCTTGCGCTTTTAGTTTTGTGGTATTTGTCTAAGTGACTGGGACATTGTAGAATGGTGATTGTTTATTTGACTCCTCCAGGAGTATGAAAATGATGTGATTGGAAAGGTTGTTGACTAAATTATGAATGTTTTCTACATCACCTTTTTAATAATGACAAAAGCATATTCTACATGGCTAATTCAAATTTTTGTTTTAATCACTAGTAGAATGATGGCGTCCAGTCTCTGTATCACTGCTTCTGCAATTGAAGATTTATTGCTTTATAACCCGCATTCACAACATACGTGGAATAAAGGGTGCCAGTTCCGTTCTCCAGTTTGAATAGCTTAGTGGTTGCATGACGGATTGCAACACTGGATGACGCGGGTTCGGACCTCATAAGGGTCACTAGTTCTCTCGACGTTGCAGATCGCTGTGTTGACGAGTCTAAAAACGTACGAAACATATACATGGGGCTTCCTGCCGATTCCCCCGGAATTACTAACATTTGTCAAGGTCCATCACGATGGTAAACCTCCTGGCTTGGAGGCTGCACTACGAAATGAATGGTAGGATTTGGTGAACACTGAGGTTTAGACAAGATGAGATTCGTTACTTGTCACCTGAGTTATACGTTTTTGTCATACCAAAGTTTAATACATATAAATCGGTTATTAGGATCGATTTCAAGATAGCATTCATCATAGACTTCAGCAGTTGCAGGACTACTGAATTCCTGGGAGCGATCTGTCCCTAATATGGGACTTTTCAGCAAACCAGACTCATGATTCTACCACAGGCCCAGTCCAAAATCATCAAGTTTCGTAACGAATACATTACCATCGAGCTGCTTTGTCGCAAGCGAATGGTTCACATTCCTGTACTTTTGTTAATCATGGATAAAGTTTCACTATCCAATGCCATCGGTGAGTATTCTCTACACTGGACTACAGATAAACCTAAATGTTTGGGAAAATATCTGGTTAAGTCAGTCCCAGTGAGAGTTGTTAGTAAAATAAGTTTCCATGTAGAACCTCTAGCAGAAACTTAACACAGTTTCATTTTGAGATTCTTTTTTTAAATCCAGAACTGATCAGACATGATTAATCTTGTAGATAGTGGCAGTACTCGTATCCTTTGTTACGCAATAGCCTATGGTGCTTACTTCATGTCATAAATAGAATATTTTACGACTTTCCATTTTCACTGTTACACGCTGATTCTAAGGAGTCATAGATACAATACTAAAGTTCCAGTCTACTTGTTTTTATGACATAACTCTGAGATATTTCAGATTATACTTTGTTGACGACTATTTTCATTCTAAAAAGTGATTTCGTAGCAGTGCTCACTCACGATCCCACGAAGAGTCGAACCCTAGACCATAAGGTCTTTTGGACAGCATCCTACCATTTAGCCAATGAATTGGATATCGGTCACCTACATTTACTTGATTGCATCGACTTTAGATAATTCTGAAGGGGCTGTTTGTTTTTACTAATAAGAAACATGGATTAACTCAACAGTTGTACAGAGTTATCATATGATAATTTATCGTTTTTTTGTGTGTATGTGCTGTTAATAGAATTCAGATTGTTTGCAGGTTTCTCAAAAATACTATGTGAATTACCATTATTTGAATACTTTAGGTAGCAGAAATATAAACACTAGAAAATACTTAGCTTAGAGCATACATTACAACGAAGAAAATATGTCACATACACAGGCCGATTCCAAATGAATGAAGCAAAAAAATTTTCACAATGAACTGGACTTATTTTGATTCTAGGCCTTTCTCCAAATTATTCATAAAATCAAAAAATCACCTTGTTATTGACAAGATCTTGATATGAAAATCGGAAAGGTTTGATCACATAGGAAGAAAAGAGAATGTTACAAATGATAAGAAAACAATTGATAACTATTTGTTAACGGAGAGATAATTGAAGAACTTTGAGCAAGTGAACAACAAACAACACAGAAAACCAATAAATATTGTAATATAGTGTGAGTAGAATATGTTAAGTAATCCAGAAGAAACGCTTGTTCAAGAAGATAAAAAAATATATAATTAGATGTGATAGACTGTAGTTCTTGGTCATTCACCAAGTCAAACTGATTGCCTAGTGTTTGTTTGTAAGTTTTTGTTTAAATACTTTAAAAACTGCAGTAAAAGTTCGATTTCATGGTGAATATGGGCACACCAGCGAAGTTATACTAACTCCAGAACCTATTTTACTCAAAAGACAAAATGAAGATGATTGACTACCATCGATTTGATGGGAAACGTAAGGTTCCTTTTCTTCATTTACCGATAACCACAAAAGGAGTTGAATCGATTAGCTATTGAGCAACTATACTCATGAATTCTATGCATAGGCGAAATCGTTAAATGAGCTCCTATCGAAATCCCGACCGATAGCTGCTACCTTGACGTGGTGATCGGGCTTGCATATCACAGTGACCCAACGAGATATACTGGTGGAACTTTTGTTCCCTCGAGGTCCTAACATACAAGAAAAGTCTGCTGAATAGTGGTTGGATAAAAAGCAGTTACCGTTGTAGTGTAAATTACTACACCATGATGTGGGGTCTAAGGAAGATGTCATACTACTGCAAGCTGGATGGGGTGTGACATCAGTAAGGTTTTTCCCTCCGGATGACCAGCAGTGCCAGGCTGATGCTACCTTCTCAGTGGGAGGGTGGGGGAGGTCAGAGAAGATCGGCCCCAAGAGCAACAAACTCCACCATGTTCCGCAGTCTTCCGGGCCGACGGTGTTGGTCCGTTTGTCGATTCTTTTCGACTATCCGGCCTCAAAACAACCATACACAAAAGGCTGCGTGTAACACACCTCATGCAGATGTCCGATGGGCTCTATAGTCACAAAAATCTCATCCAGGTACTTAAAAGAAATAGCTTTCCACAGTGTGAGCAGCCGGGAAGTGTCAACCGCCCTCACAACTCGATCAACACTCAAGTTTCTTGAGACTTCTATCCATCTCCTCTATCCAAATGCCTCAGTATTGCTTGTTTTATGAGCTTGATATTATTGATAAATAGCAGGTAGCATTGAAATCAAGGTTGTATGTTTCATACAGTTTGCGACGCACTCGTCTGTTGAATGTACCTGTCTCCCAGTGAGTCATTAGATTTGAGTCTATGCTATAAGAAACTGAAAAAAGCCTCAGAATGAAATGAGTTTATTTAATTCAACCAAATCGATTATTTAATCACTTAAAAAGTATATTTATTAAGTATTTTTGAGTAATAAAGCTATTTCCGCTATCAAAAACCAAGTGCGTTACCAAATAAATGTTTCGCTACCTAGTGGATTTTAATAGGTTTATGGCGGGATAAAGAGATTTCAATAACAGTTTGAGTATACCACTTCATAAAATGTCGATACAGACGAAGTTCTGTCGGTTAACTTACATAGCTAATGAATAGTTATCCTCATGAATGTTTATAAACATGCTGTCAGAAGAGAGTAGCATACACTTGACCCGAGTAAAACGCGTCATATCTATCTAGTATCAATTTCCAATGTCTCATTATCCAGGTATGAAGATAGTTTGTGAAAGTTTTTGCTACCTTTCTCTCTGATGTCATAAATTCGGTTATCACGTATGCTTTTTTACAGTTTTTTACGTAGGTTGTATGCAATATCATAGACTTTATCTGAACACAAGTTTATTCTATTTCACTTTTTTCAGGACCTCCAGGAGAACCAGGAAAAGTAGGACCTCCAGGACCACAGGGACCAATGGGTAACTCAAATTACTTTTATTATTGCTAATAATAATATAAGATAATATAGTGTAGGATCAAGTCGTTTGTCTCTAGGTAGGATTTTAAACAAATGAATCATCATGTCTAGATAAAACTGTACTATAATACTGGAAACATAGTTAAGTTGTAAAAACGTCCCGGTATCCACCTGGATCACCAAACCACCGGATGTCAGGAAATATGGTTATCAAGTTATGATGAATAGTGGCTAGCGGTGGAATCCAAGATGCGCATTTCATCCAGTTCGAGACTCATCAGCTGACTGTACTTGCTCTCCAGTGGGTAATGTTGTTCCCATCGGGTTTTGAACTCGAGGCTAATCGCTTCAAATGCCAGAGCGTGGATCAGTGGTCTAGTGGATAACGCCCTCGGGTTTCAAGCGATCGGTCCTGAGTTCCAATCCTAATGGGAAGAAAATCGTTTACTGGAAGGCAGACACATGCAGTTGACGAGTCCGGGATAGGATGAAATGTGTCTCAAGCTGAATTCTGTTGCTAGCCGCTATCTATCATTATTTAAGTCCCTTAAATTTTATATTTACTGCTGCATTTAAGCAATTCATTCCACATGCATGGTTTATTATTTATCCTTTGGGTTCCTAGTAGAACATAGGGCCTCAGTAGCACCTTACCATTTCACTCTTTCTTCTATAGACTTTACAACTTGGCTCCACGACTGCTCAGTAGCTTTCATTTCTTCCTTACACGATCACCTCCATGTCATCCTCATCTATGGTTTACCTACGATGTTATCTAGTTAAAAAGTGTTAGCAGTAAAAGTGTAGAAAAGCAATAAGAAAACAATTTTTCAAGTATGAATAACAAACAAATTACCTACAGTATAATTAATCTGGTTAACATTTTTATACAGAAAAACAGATATGAAACGTGTTGCCTTTATTTGAACAGGTTTGTAATTTTTCATTTTCATCAAAATTGACTACCCTTTATAAATGTTATTCGAAAACTTTGTAAAGAAACAAGTTTTAATCTTAATTACTAGTGTAATTATGTAGTGACAGGTTGATTTGTTTCTAAGAGTTTTATAAAATGATTTGAAGAAACAAATGCTTACCACATGACTTGCAGTTTGACAGAAAAGCTTTTGTAAGTGTGAATAATCTTCGTCATTTAGCCTATTGTAGATGAAATTTATGTTCCATCATATCTGCTTTTGACCGTTTTTATACTAACTTTAGTTTCTTTTCTGAATAAAAAGGATCTCAGCTAAAATAGGTTCCAATTATTACTCAAATTTAAAGGTAACTAGATTGTTATCTACTATAACTTGTGACTCTTCAGTGTTATACTATATCAGACTAATCGACTCCTGTTCGCGTATGAGCATCTCTAAAGATATCTTGGTACTGCCCAGATATTCATTATATTGTGGTTTACTTTGATTCTCAGTGGGAAGAACATCAGTCACTGGGGTGCAGATACATCCAGTTGATGAGTCCGAAATGAGACGAAAGTTGCTTCTGCGATTCTATCATGAGTAAACAAGTAGACTATAAAGTAAAAGAAATTGTTTTCTAAAATAAAATCAAAAGGACTACTAGTGAACTAGATGAAATCTTCCATCATGTAACCCATTTTCTGTCTTTAAAGAAAACAATCCTGAGGTAGGTTTAAAACTAGCTGGATAAGCAAAACGGAGGCAGAATACAGTGCACTCACAACACTAGCTGAGAAATCTAGGTAATAATAAAACTGAGTGTCAGTTACATTTCTTGGTCACTGGTGAATAAGCAGTTTCATTCCGTCTAGTCAGAAGAGCTAGTTGGATTCGATCGATTCGTTAGCAGTGTGATAATCATCCTAGAAGACTCATCAACAAGATTCCGTTTGATTAAAAACAGTTGATTAAAACAAGCTGACTAGTAGATCTACACCTAAGTTTTACACCTGTTAGCCCTTATCAGAAAGGTCATCGTCAGGTAGTATCGAAAATTTGGTTGCATAATGTTCTGTGAACTGGGTTGTTTAATTATCGAATTTTCATCGTCTTTCTAAACGACATCATCAACACCAACTTCAATATGAAAGTCAGCTGACAATATCTCTACGTGAAGGATTCATCATCTTGTAATGACAAAATACTTCGTCACCGATTGTTTCCTTCAATCGCTGTTTCATCGAATACACAGATTCTCCTGCTGGCTCTTCCTCTGCCTCATCTCTAATCTGCCTATCGCTCATCAGCTTTCTCATTGTTTCACAGATTCAGTCTATGTCTATAACATGTAAGCATTCCTCAATAACATGAACACCAAGCTTCCAGGAACTACCTGATATTCTTTGTCTTCCCTCTGTTCACCATCAGTCAGTACTATATCGTCGAAATTGAATTCATGTCCATAGTTGTTATTCACGTGCATTGAAATGAGCCACGAAATGTCGTGACGTTCATTAGCCAACTCGTCTTCATATAGACGAAGACGAAGACGGAGAGGGTGATCACTTTCTCCAATGCAGTGTTGATCACAACTACTCCAGTTGATTCTGTAAGTGATATTCCGTTCGTCTTCTTTGGTTATTGCTTCTTTTCGTCTGCATAATATGGTTTTAAGGGAACTTGTCAGTTTATGAGCCAGCTACATCAATTCCGAGTGGTTTCACTAATCATATCATGATCTCTGATATAGTCTATATGTATGGTGATATGATCGATTTGTTGATTTCTGTCAATGACTTTGTAGTTGATGATGTGTGAATAGGTTTTGTGGGTAGTCGTTATTCTTCAGGATGGACATCGAGTAAGTTTCTTCGTTTGTCTGTGGTGTTGTTGACGTGTAGTGTGTTCTTGCTCTTTTCGATGCAGTCTGCTGGCATCTGATTTTGTGAGTTGTTAGATTGTTCGTATTGTGGTTGAGGATTTTGTCAGTGTGTATTAGCTTCCTGTATGCTTGCGCTTTCAGTTTTGTGGGATTTGTCCAAGTGATTAGAACATCGTAGATTGGTGATTGTTTATTTGACTCCTCCAGCAGTATGAAAATGATGTGATTGGAGAGGTTGTTGAACAAATTGTGAATGTTTTCTACATCATGTTTTGCAATGATGACCGGCGTATCGTCCCCATAACGAATACAATAGAAAATCTGACCTTTACCGCATCGAAATATGATCCAAACATCCCTTGAAATAAATATCAATGTAGATAAACGAGAAAAACGTTTCTTTTTTTACGTGGAACGTAACATGCGATTTAACTGCCTGTTAACCATAATTTGGTGAATGACACATCTGAAACAAGACGCTAATTAAATGTAGCAAAAACACAAATCTAGGCTTCATGATATTCCCTTTCAGTATAAATATTGGTAAGCCTATTCAACTTTTTCCTTTCTTTGTGAACATCGTTGCTATTTGATATTATACTAACCTTAATAATTGGCGCTTATTGAGGGCTGTTTCATTAATTCTTAGGGGCAACTCCTTTCTAATGAAGATAATGATGTGCGCCGAATTGAACAAATGCCGTCATAATTAACGTAATGCATATAAAATTGTTCCTCAGTCTTATTTAACTTAGTATAAAACACTTCATTATCGTAGCTGTCATGACCAAACAGATGACAACCATTGGGAGATAAGATTTTGAAAGACGAGGACATGTGTAATGTCTTTTTTAACATAACGTTTATAGAGCGAATGAAAATGTTCCACATAGTTTTGATTCTAGCTTTAAATTAATTCCTACCACTCTTATACGGACATGGATCACTGATGTCTTTTATACCGGTTACGAGGGACTCCAGATGACTGAAATCATCTTCGAATATATTTCAGCAGTTATCTATCACCTTCGATAAACTAAGTCTTATAATTTATTACAATAAATGAATGATTATTTAAATAATCGCGGTAATAACACGAAATCGTCTAACGAAATGGAATGAATTATCGCTGAAACATACTATAGTCTGAGGTTTATGGGGATTTTATTTAGGAAGATGTGTTCACCATTGAGTGACTTTGTTCCTACCTAGGAGCTAATGGTTAACTTATTGGCTGGGAAAGTTGAATGTCTTAAATTCAGTCATAGACGTGGTCTTAGATATGTGCTGCTAAGGAGTTCCATACTAGGATGAAGCAGCTGTCCGGTGTTCCCAAGTTTTCAATGGCTCCCGCAAACAATGTTAGTTCATGATGAATTCAACGTTGAAATATAGGTTAGTCGTCAATAAAAGCATTACAGAGTGAAGAAATTGTTCTTTCTCATAAAAAATAACAGTAGTTTAGCACAACTGAACAAAGTCGCTTTGATACTGTCGCCTGAATGACATCGAAGCACTGACATTGATATAGCACCACTCTGCATATATTTAGAAGTATCAACTAGGTTGTAAGATAGTTGGAGGTAGGGTTAAATGTTGTTGAGGGTTAGATTTGTTCATGTCAGACAATAATCTTGAACCGGATCACGGAATGAAATCATATATATCAACCAATTAAACAGTTATATAATTCTCTTTTTTACTATTTATTGACATACTTGTTATTCTCCGTTGTTTTGTTGGATCGAATTGTTCGATCTTCTGCTAGCCACAACCAACCAAATTCTCTTTTTTTCTCTTTATAAGCTGGTGGACTTCTGAGACACCCAAATTAGATTTTTGTTTAGTTTTCCCTGAAATCGTCTAGTTATTTTGATTAAGTTATAAAGGGTTATGACATAACATTTAAAAATGGTTTTTTTACTCGTAGATTGTTTTCGAATACATGTTAGTTGGTTGGAGGCAATCAGCAGGAACCAGGGGACCTCGTTGATGAATTCTAAAAAGTACGAATAAAGGGTTCAGGGTTTCCTGCCGATTCCCTCCTACCAACTAGTATCTATCAAATGTGCACCACAGTGTTGAGCCTCCAAGCTTTGAGGCCACGTTGAGAAATGATGGATAGAATTCAGTGAACTAGATAATATGAGATTTATTGCTCTCCAGTAATCAGTCAGTGGGGAATTTTGGATGTTTCTA